AAAGTCTTTTCCCAGTGAGGACACTGTCTCTCTTAAGTTTGGGGGGGACAGTCGTTGTGTCAGTCATTGTTTCAGAAAGATAAAGTGTTATTTATATTTGAAAAATCATGCTATTTTCTTTTGAAAAAGAGTCAGTTGGAAAGAAAGAAAGTGTTGAAAAGCACTCAGCTTAAAAAATAGAAACAAAAAAAGAAAAAAAAGAGACAAAAGTTGCAAAAGAGTAAAAAGAGTCTTGTTGAGAGAAAATAAGAGTGGGGAAAAGACTTGTGTTAGAAAGAAAAGAGTGGTAGAAACAATGAGAGTTAAAGAAAATGTATTTATGATTTCCGAGTCCTACTGTAGACACCCATTTAGTTTTAGGTTGGGTGTTGACTTTGAAAATAGCAGTAAGGATGGTGATAAGTGACTTCGTGTTTCTCATTGTCGTCGTTTTATGACCTAGCTGTTAGTTCAAAGTCTTTCTACGAGTAGYTGTGGTTGAAACCGATGTTAGTGTGTGGAAACCTCAAGGGCTAGTAGCTGGTCTTTGAGATGTAAAAGTCTCTATGTAAAAAGGGAGTGTGCAGATTCCTTAGGGGTATTTGAAAACGTTTTCTGTTTTTGAAAGGAAAAAGGATTTTGAAAGAGAAAGTTTCTTTCATTTCAAACTTGGTTTATAGTGACTAAGCTTACAAAGGCAATAGAATGGTAGGCTTTGACATCTTTTCCCTGAGACAATTTATGATTGAACATATCGGTTGCTTTTGCTTTACCTTGTCCATGTGTTAGGAAGCTGATTAAAGTTGCTAAGTTTTGCTTGAGGACAAGCAAAAAGTTAAGTTTGGGGGTGTGATTACGCTTGTTTACATGCGTAAAAAGAAGGTTTTAGATTCTGTTTTTATTATGTTTTAGATTTGTTTCGGACTTTTTCTCGGTCGGTTGAGTTCCAATTCATGCAAAATTTATATATGATGGTTTGTGGTTGGCTTATATTATATTTATGACATTTTAGGACCATTTGGGAGTGGAAATTAATCAAAAGAAGCAAAAAGTCGGAAATACCAACATGGGAGGCGCCAGGCGCCTGGGAAGGCTGCAGAAAACTGTTTTTCTTCCAACTTTGCCCTTAATGAAATGCGTCTTCCAATATGTTTTGGTGGTTCCAACCGATGCATACATGTAGAAGAAGTGTTCCACTATCAGTTTAAGCACAATTTAGCTAGTCAAAGGAGTTGGAAATGGGTGATTCACCATCGTTTTAGGACCTACCTAACCAATTCTGCACAGCTATAAATTCCAGCAGCTTCTCCACCAAATTCATCAAGCCTTGCTTCCTTCTCTGGATCATTTTTAGTGTTTCTTTGTTGCTTTCTAAATACTTTTGAGTTGCTTTCATTAGTTGCTTTTGGTTTTTAAATCCCGAGCACTTTACATTCC